AAATAGGTCCTTCAGAGTGGAGCATTCTGAAAGGAGTTCCAGGAGCTATGCTGTAGCCCGAGGGCTTGGCACCTTAGCCTTGCTTCTGGAAGCACCTCTGCCTGTCTCCATTGTCTTATGGCTGCTTCTGGTTTTTAAGATTGCTAACCTCCTCCTCCTTACTCTACTCTCCCACAACCTCCCAGTTACTAGTCACACCCCTTCCTGAGTGCCAGGAATGGTGGCTCTCAAGGACCAAGATGGGAGGCAGGACTCACTGCTGCTGTCCTGTCCCCTGGCAGAATTCTCTTTTCTCTGCAGATGGATAGAATGACTAGTCAGAGGAAGCACTATTTGATATAGCCTTCTTGTGTTGAGCCTCCTAGGGTCCTCTCCACCCCAGCTCTAGGCTTTTGCTCAGAGACCCCCTCCTATGCCCATGATCACCTTGCAGCGTTCTCAGCCTGGCCATTGGAGGGATGGAAAGGAGCCTGAAAGAATAGAGTGGTCAGATTTCTGTCTACTCCAGATCTCCCCCATCCCTGTGGGCCCCACTCTAGGGAAAGAGACCTTTCAGACACAGAATTTCCTGTATTTCCAACCTACTGAGAGATGCAGAAATGAGAAGGGAAATTTTGCATATGTAAATTTTTTAATGAGTCAAGAGTTGCTGCTGGGGTGGGGTTGGGGTAGCAGGAGGAGGAGTGAGGGCTCTGCCTGTTTTGAGTTAGCATTTCACAGTCCTGTGAAAACTGTCCTTTGGGAGAAAGAATGTGCTCTGATTAACTGGAGTCTTTCAGAAGTCTGCCTCACGGAAGATGAGAAACAGACCAACATCTGCTAACACACACCCCACTCCATCCCCAGAACGTGGTGGCTGAAACAGGCAGGCATCGCTCTGGTCTTTCCATGCAGGGATTTGATGTGGCGGGAAGGTTGGAGCAAGCAGCCCTGGAGGAGCTGCAGAGAGGGTCACCAGGTATAAGACCTGTGAGATAGTGGGTTGCTGGTTTTCCCTTCCATGGGCTTGAGCCCTTGACAAAAACTGAGAACTCTGCTCCAGGGAGGAGGCTGTAGGGGAATGGAGCCCAGAAAGCCAAGGCCCCCAGTTCTGTCTGCAGCGCTCATCCACACTCAGTGTCCCTAAATGAAAGCCTGTCTGCGGGATGATCCTTCTGAAAAGCCTATTTCCCTTTGTCCTGCCTTTCACACTCACCTATCCCTGTCCTCTTATTTTTAAAAGTGCCTAATGGTCCAAGTTTAAGAAGTCCTGTGAGCAGGCCAGAGCCACTCCTTTGGGCCATCCCAGGTTTGAGCTCTTCCCTGCTCACATTATAGCTGACTGATTCTGATGTAAACACCTGTTCCCATACAAGGCCAGGCAGCAGGTCCTGACCCCAGGCCTCAAAACCTCCAGCCTCTGGCCTGCCAGCTGCTGCTCCATTGAGGGCAGTGCCCATGGGGGAAGAAGTGTCGGTGCCTTGAACTGCTCTTTCTTTTTACAGGTGTGAGAGCTTGATGTGGGACAGGTTTAGACCCCAGTCAGGTTGGCATAAGGAAAAGAGAGTTATTGGGAGATTGTGACTCAACATGGAATGCGGAATTGGCCAAGAGGCAGTCAGTAGACTTGGATGTAATTGGGGCCAACTGATGATTTTTTTAAAATGCGCATTTTTTAATAAAAGCAGTTTCTGACATGTAATCTGACATTTTAAAAGTTAATGACAATTAAGTGATCCCCAGAGAACTCTGCTGGCCATATACTGACTGCATTAGGTGAAAGTCCATGAGGATTTTCGTGGCATTGGCGGACGATTCAATGTGCCATGTGAAGGCTTAATAAGGCAGTAAACATTTTTATGATCTTTGCTGACCATTAAATATCCCACAAAAATGCTTTTGCTAGCCAAATCAGCAACGAAATTCTAATGATTGTGAATTTAATAAAATGACAAGAATCAGCAAATCAAGAACTGGCACTCTTAAAAGAAACCCTTATTCTCTGGACTTTTGATTCCCTACAACAGCTTCTCCTGCAACAGCCTGGCCTTGTACATCTTACACATTCACATTCACACAGCTCTGCCACGAGGTCCACACACCTCAACTTCCTGAGACAAAAACTCAGTGTATCCAAAATCAACTGTTTCCCCATCGGCCTCACTTCTCCCACCTCCTACACCTCTGACAGGGTAACTCTCCCCTTCACACCTGGGCCTTGAAACCCAGCCTTAATCCCGCCCCGGCCTTCACTTCACTGCCCCCTCAAGGTCTTCACCCTTCTGCATTTCCTTAGAATGCGGGTCAGGGCTCGCCAGCCACACAGAACTTCACTTTTCCTCACAGAGCACGGCCTCCCCACCTCAGTGCTGCTCCATTCGCTGCTCCTCTGCAGCCCTATCTTCTGTCCAGGCCTGTGGGAACTCGGCTCAGGAGGCCTCTTTCTTCAGCAGCCTCCTCCCCACAACTCTGGGTTTTCTACCACTTCCGTTTCTCTAGTGCCGTCCCAATATCTGCAAGGCAGCTTTTTGAAATATACATAAAAATTTCCATTTAGCCATTTTAAGTGTATCATTCAGTGGCATTGAGTACATTTTCACTGTTATGCAACCAGCACCATCATCATCATCATCATCATCATCATCATCCATCTCCAGAGCATTTTCCTCTTCCCATTGTGAACCTCTGTATCCATTTAACTCTACTTCATTCCCTTCTTTCTCTTCCTGATGCCCACCATTCCCCACTGTTTCTATGACTTTGACGACTGTAGATGCCACCTATCAATGGAATCATACAGTGTTTGTCTTTTTGTGTCTGGCTTATTTCAGTTAGCACAATCTCCGCAAGCCCATCCACACTACAACATATGTCAGAACTCTCTTCCTTTTCAGGCTGAATAATGTCCCATTGTATATCCATATTTTATTTATCCATTCATCCCTCAACAGACTGTTGGGTTGTCTCTCCCTTTTGTTTATTATAAATACTGGTGTTGTGAATGTAGGATACAGATATTTGTACAGGTCTCTGCTTCCAATTCTTTTAGTAATGTATCCAGAAGTGAACTGCTGGGCCACATGATAATTCTATTTTTAATTTCTTTACAACCTTGCCCACAGTTGTTGTTTTCTGGTTTTTTGGTAATAACTGACCTGGTGGGTATAGTGTCTCACAGTGGTTTTGATTTGGTCTCACAATATCATGGCTGCCTTTTCCATGATCTGCACACCACAGTAGACTTAAGAGTTTGTAAGGGCATTGCCTATGCCTTTCCGTCTCCTCCATATCTCCACCTAAGCACAGGTACCACTCATTCACTACTGACAAAGTAATTGAGTGAACAAAGCTGGGGTGAATCGTGGTCCTGGTGTCTCTTCAGAACTTGGTGATGTGCATTCCTCTGTACAGCAAGCATCACCTACACTATTTTTGAGAGGGTGCTACTTGGACCTACATAGGGTCCAAGTATTTGCACCTCTTTCCTTTATTTTTCTTTACCTTCAGATGACCTTTAAGCCATTCTTGAATATAACATAGATAACGTAATGGCTGTGTCACCCCATTGCTTCTGAAACAACACACTACAGAGAGCCGCTGTCACATGAAGGAGAATGGCTTAGCCCAGCATACTTACAAGTGACAAGTTCCAGGGAACTCAGACTTTATTCATTTCTTCACATAAAATGAACCTGAAAATGTTTTGAATCTTTGGAAAGAAATACCTATTTGGAAACTTGGCAGCAGCCCTTTTATTTAGGGACCCTAGGTATATGTTGGCCTTTTCGAAATGCATCTGTTTGGTCCAAGTTGGCCCAGGGGAGTGCATGCTGAGCAGAGAGCAGAGGAGGGGGCATGCTGGTTTGTTTGAGTGATGGTTTGCTGAGTCAGGCAGGTTTGTGTATGCACCTGACTCCTTCCTGGGCCAGGCAACCACTGCACACCTCAGTCCAAACTTGCACATTTGCTCTTGAGAAGGCCATGGGGACCATGGTACTTCCTCATGATTCAGCCTCAGGACTAGCACTGCCTGGTGTCCTGTGAGGCTGCTGCAACAAGGGCAGTGGATGCGTAGTGAGCCCACTCTGCCCACCTGGCCCACCATGGCCTCCCACCCTCTGCTGTGCTTGGCCTCTTGCTAGAACCCATGGTCTTTTAAAGTCAAGGACCCTGGCCAAGAGAATCACAGATGTAATAGAACCTAGGTCCCAGGTTTTCAGCCCAGCCCTTCTAAAATCTATTGGTCTTGCAGTCCCTTGGCCACCAGGACTCCCCCTGGAGATCTGCATGCGTCTGCCAGCACCACACCATATCTGGGTGTGGGACAGGGTTAGTGCTAATGGAAGGATTCCTAAGTGGGGCAGGGAATAAGTCAGCCTACTCCTGGGTCTCTCAGCCATGTTTTACTATTGTATTCTTCCAGAATAAAGTTCTGTCCTGAGAAGGGGAGCCCTGCAGCACTACTGAGCCACACCAACCTTCCTTCGAGAGGGCTGGTACAGCCACCAGTCCTGCTGACTTGGTAGTGTCCAGCTTCACATGCTAGGACTTTCTAGAACCACAGCCTTCTAATTCCCCGTGGCTCCTATGGAATCCCCATATCCACCTACCTTACAGTCTCTGTTTCAAGGGAATTGGGCTCAGAGAGGGTTAGAAATTTTCTCAACATCACACAGCTACATAGGGTTAAAATTAATTATTTAACTTCGTATATTAAGTGTTTATCATCTTTTGGGTGGCCCTTTCCTCCAGGCTGGAGATACTGATCCCTCATGTTTAGCTCTCCACAGCATCTATGGAGGATAAAGGATGGACACCATGAGAAGACGCTTCCTTCCCACCTGGGAAGGGCTGCTCCTGCGGTGGCCCACAATCAGTTCCCTCTCACCTTGGTCTTCAGAATCCTCCTGCCAGCTAAGCAGGAGGAGTGATGCTCAGGGACCCTTTCCCAGAGGTCTGAGGAAAAGGCCAGGATTGGAGGTCCGCCGGCAGGTGGCGACCATTGGGCACTCTCGTTGCAGGGAACCTCAGCCGTGTCCAAGCAGAGCTTTGCCAGAGGCGTTGGCATAACCTACCCCCTAGTAAGTGCTCAAACGCTGTGCAGGATGTGCGGAAGGAGACCGGCAGTATGTGGGGCCTGATGGTGATTGCGCAGCTGCTGGCCGGCATCGGGACTGTGCCCATTCAGCCGTTTGGGATCTCCTATGTGGACGACTATGCAGAACCCAACAACTCACCCCTGTACATCTGTAAGTCACTGGCTTGAAGCCGGCTGGGGGAGGGTCCAGGACATAGCATTTGCTCAGGCCCTGGAGGCTAAAAGGCAGTCCGACACTCTCTGCCCACAACACAGTGAGTGCAGAGCTCTGGGTCTGGATCAGGCACACCTGGTGCATTTGCCAGCTCTTACTCCCAGCTGTGTGGTACCTGCAGGATGGAGTTAAGATTATCAGTGGGATTACATGTGCCAATGTGCCCACGCTGGGCACAGTGTAGGTCCTAAATCAGTACCATATTTCCCCAAAAAGAAGACCAGGTCTTGTATTAATTTTTGCTCCAAAAGATGCAGTATGGATTATTTTCAGTGGATCTTTTTTTTTCATGTATAACAATCTACATTTATTCGTGTAAAAAAAACTACATTTATTCAAATATAGTCATGGTATCTTCTTCTGGAACATTGTCATAACTCTCCAAAATCCAAATTCTGGCCTGAGTTTCTTGTGACTCATTTCCTGTGGAAACATCGGCCCCAATCTCTTATGTCCAGCAATAGAGCTCTCCTTAAATGAGCAGTTCTTGTCTATGTAGCCTGCTCGTAGTAGTGTACATTGCTTCAACACAATTATTGAATCATGAAGATTCATATAAGATACAGGACCTGGGATTTAGGTCAATGGCACTGCGACTGCCTTGCAAGTGTAAAGTTCTGAGTTTGATCCCCAGCACTGGGAAAAAAAGATACAATCAGTCATGTCTGTTCATTATCAAGTGGGCACATTATCTGTGCATGTGTCTCTACTCTGATTGGTCACTTGGCAATAAGTCTCGAGCTCATCTGTTTACAAAGATGTTTACCTCTTGTACAAAGGTGCCTGCTTGAGCCTTTACAAGTACTTAATTATAATTTATATTATCATTTATTATGTATTAATGTCAACATTTTTATTTATGTTAATATTATCTTATAATTCAATTCATCTATCATGTATTGCAATGGGTGTACTAAATGTGTCCATCCTGCTGATGGTCATTACTGGGGCTTATTTTGGGGGTAGGGCTTATATTATGGGCATCCTAAAAAATCATGCTAGGGCTTATTTTGTCAGGCCCATGTCCCACACCAGACAGACCACACCCACAGGCTCTGTGACCCCAGAAACTTCTGTCAGGGTCACCAGCATTGTACCAGTGAGAAAATTCACTCATCAACACACCTTGGGCTGGCATTTAAAAATGCTGTGGGGGCTGTTTCCTTTCTATCCAGCAGGTCTCTCTGACAGGTGGCAGGAGGGAAAACAGACTTGGTGCTGTAAATCATGGCATCTTGGGTAGCAATGGCCTTCTCCACGGAAGATGCCATAGGTATGGGCTTGTTAGAGTCAGGAACAGATGAGTGGGATGTCAGGAATCCCCCTCAGTTTAGAAGCCTGGGGTTGCCCAACCTTCTCAGTTCTCTTCAGGTTCTTTTCCCTTGTTTCAATTTCTAGCCATCCTATTTGCCATTGCTGTATTTGGACCGGCTTTTGGGTACTTACTGAGCTCTGTCATACTGCAGATCTTTGTGGACTACGGCAGGGTTGACATAGGTAAGTGTGTGCAATTCCATAAAACATCCCCACACTACTTCCCATCCAATCAGGGTAGAGAATGAGGCTTCAACTATAGGTGCTCATTGCCCCCTCCCTCCCTCCCTCCTTCAGACAGCCAGAAGCAGATGGTCTCTGCCTCCCCTCACCAGGGCTCATGGTGGATCCTGTGGGGCACAAGCTACTGGGGCAAATACACTTCTTACCCTCAAGAAGTTTGCAGTGGGAACCTTAAGACCTAGGGCAGGCCTGCAGCTGCCCATCTTGATGGTGGGATTAAAAGTACTTCTCTGGTTCTTCAAGATGCTGCTGATTATTTAAAAGCAAAAGACTTAATAAGAACTCTTGAAGGGAAAAAAAAGGAAACACCACATAAGCTATACCTATGGATTGTGACTCATCCAGAAGTGTGGCATGGTGCCTTTACCCTGCGTGGGCACCAGAATTGTGTCTAATCTTTTTCTTTCTTACCTTTTACTAGCTGAGGGGTCTTAGCAACTTCACCTTTCTGAATTTGTTTCTTCATCACTAAATGCTAGTAAAAAAATACAGCAGTTGTAAAGATTATAGTAAGTTTAATATATGCTAGGAGGTTAACAGATGTGAGCTCATATTCCTCAAAAATGGTATGGACTAAATCACTGAGCATCTTAGAATGAGGCATAAGTGCTGAATTAACCTTTAGAGAACTGAAACACTAAGCTACCTCTCCAGGCCCTCTCACCAGTTTTTGTTTGTTTGTTTGTTTGTTTGTTGAGACACCACAGTTTCACCAACTTGTCCCAATTGACTTTGAACTTGCAAACCTCCTGCCTCGGCTGTCCATGTAGCTAGTATTACAGGTGTGTGCCACTGTACCCAGCTCAGCAAAGGCTTCTTGCTTCTGTAGGCATGTCTTTTGTATTCCCTCAGCCTCCCATAAGACAAAAACAGTCTGCAGTGTAGTAGAGGGAATGGCAAAGTGCTTTGGAAGTTTTTCTGTGGTTGGTTGTCTGGATTGAATTTTGTTTGTTGTTTTGTTTATTGTGATGGGGCTTGAACCTAGGACCTTAGCACTGAACTATATCTCCAGACATTTATTTGCTATTTTCAGAGAGGTCTCTCCACGTCATTAAGTTGCCCACACTGGGCTCAAACTTATGATCTTCCCACCTCAACCTCCCAGAATGTTGGGATTACAGGCATGCCTGTCCATTTTGGAAGCTTAAAAGCAGGAGAGAGCACTTCTGCGTGAGGCAGTCATGGAGGACTTCCTGAGGGTGTGATGTCTGTGTGGAACTATGAAAGATGGGTGGGCTCTCCATCAGCAGTGAAGGCAGGGAGGAAGCCATTTGAACACAGCCAAGAGGATGAGGAGCATGGGGAACGTGTGGGTGCTGTCTGAAGTTGCCACTTTCCTGAGGATGCACAGGAAAGCAGGACTGAGCCAGACCCTCAGGAAGATCAGCCCCACCAGTACCTGGCACTCAGGCAGGGCTTGCCTATCTCACAAAGAGTCTGGCAGGCAATAATTCTGACCTGCTGCTAGAGCCTAGACAATTCTCCTTAGGGGCTGTCAGACCACAGTGTCAACTGCCTGTACTTCAGGCAGAAGTGGCAAGCCAGAGAAAGTTTTATGCTTCAGGATCAAGCTATCTTTGCCCTTTTGTTGGAACTTCCTAAATTGGTTCCTGATTCCTGGCTGCCCAAAGAGACCAGGAACTGAACTTCCAGACCACCTGGGACAGTGCCAAAGGATACCTGTCACTGTGTGGCTGTGAACTGTTCTGCCATCTTCTCTTCCACCTGTGCCCACAATTTGTTTGCACAGACAAAGGCAATGGCAGACTTCAGATGCAGGGAGAGTGGCCAGGAGAAGGGTTCTCCCTTGATGGCCAAGGCGGCCCACACCGTTGGGTGGTTGCTTCCTCAAGCCCCTTTCTCAGGAAGAATCAATAAAGCTGAGATGTAGTGGAATTCAATGGTTAACAGTATAAGTTTGGGCGCCCAGAAGACATAGGATTGAAACTGATCAATGAAATGGCACTTACTATTCTTCACCTTGGACTAGGGACTTAACCTCTCAGATCTTCAATTCCTGATCATCTACAGGTGAATAGATGTTACCCCTACCTCAGCAACTCCTCAGCTTGCCCAGTGGGATAACAGATATAAAGCATTTAGGGTCTAGACCATGGGAAGCCCTCTGAAGAATCAGCTCTTGCCACTATTACTCTTGCCAAGAGCTTGGAACAAAACCAGTGATGGGACTATACTGTCCCTTCAGCCTGAGGCTTTGTTGATGCTCACCTCTGTGTACACTGGCCTCGATTCTCTGAGAAAACCAAAATGCCTGAAGAAGGAATGTGGTCCTGATCAAGATTCTAGCTCCTGGCTTTCTTTGTTTTCACTGGGGGAAGAAGTCAATAGAACACCCCCTGAATAGAAATTCTTTCTAGTAATGTGAGAACATGCATTCATTCAACAAACATGTGTATCCTTTTGCTTCTCTTTAGCTAAAGTTAACATGAGCCCAGGTGACCCTCGATGGATTGGAGCCTGGTGGCTGGGCCTGCTCATTTCTTCAGCCTGTTTGGTTCTCACCTCTTTCCCTTTTTTCTTCTTTCCTCGAACGATGCCCAGAGGAGTAGAGGTAAGTTTCTAAGAGACCATGACTCTACCTGTACAAGTTTAAAAAAGAAAGGCAGGCATAGAAAATAAATAGAACTGAAAAGCTACAGCAAGGTAAGGAAATTCGGGGTGATGCTGAAACAAGGTCTTGTTGGAGGACTTCTCAGGAACATAGTGGGAAGGAACATAGCGTGGAAAAGGTTGAGTTCATTTAAATTGGGATGCAGAGGTAAGAGTCCATAAAAGCTGCGCAGGTAGGACTAAGAAGCGGGGCTCTGAGCACTGCGCTATGTGAGAGTGGGTGGAAAGTGGAGAATATTTCGAGGTGGGTGACAATTTATGGACCTTCTGGTCCCTCTGGGAAAGGAATCAGGGAAGAATGACAATGGAGAGCAGGAATGAGAAGACTGGGTGGCCCTCGGTGTGAGACTGAAGTGTCTGCATCCTGTGCTTTATGCACGAAGTGTCCCATGAGGTCCTGGGCGCTGTAATGACTGGGTGATAACCTGGTGGCAACAGGGAAGCTGTGTTGAGGTTGGAAGTGAGGAAGATCTGAAGAAGTTCAGGTGAGAGAGAGCACACAGTTGAGGACCAGGACAGCGGGGAGACAGCTGGGACAAGAGCAAGGCCAGATGTTCCTGGAGGGCTGCTATGAGGGACCCAGCTGTGAGCCAGACTGTAGAAAGAGTTTGAGTAAAAAATAGAGCTCAGTGTTTGGCAATGAGGTGGATGAAAGGGGGTCCAGCTGTGGGGTTGAAGACCTTTTGTTGTCTTAGGGGAGAATTTTAGAGACTGGAAGCAAGACCTGATGGTTTGGGGGTGGATCACACAACCTGGGTTTGAATGTGTACCTGTGTTATTTATAAACTAGCTGAGTGATCTTAGGCAAGGTGCTTTATTCTAGAGCTTCCTCTTTAAAATACTCAAGATCATTAGTAGCTATCTTAGAAGGAAGCTGTGAGATGTGAGACAATGTGTGTGGAGCATGCCCAGCGCTCAGTGTGGAGTAGGAACTCAGTGCATGGTGCACCTGCTCCTGGCACTGAGCCCCCAGGACCATCCTAATAGTGGCAGAACTCAGGGACCTGGCATCTGTATGGTGCTCCAGAGCTGGGCCCTGGGGCTGGGGCTGTTGCTCTCAGAAGAAGGAGGCAGGTTCACAAAGTAATGTACCCAGAAGGTGCCAGGGAATGGCTAGAACAGAACCTTGAGCAGGACTCACTCTGGGCCCAAGAGGAAACAGGGACATCAGAGAGAAAACAAATAGAAAGAGCTAAAACAGCTGGAGATTTAGCTCAGTGGTTCTGCTGCCTGCCTTTCAAGTGCAAGGTCCCAAGTTCAATCCCTGGTAACAAAAAAAAAAAGAGCTAAAACAGTGTTTAATAAGCCAGAAGTCCTGGAACCTGAGGGCAGGAGAGAAGTGTAGCCATGACATATAGACAAGGAGGATCCAGGAAGACACCTTGGGCATCAGTCATGTGAAAGTTACGTATGAAACAATATGCCCACAAGAATCACAGAAGGTACTGGCACACATGCATTCTGGTCTGCAAACAAGGTATCAGACTCACCAAATACAGGTGATACTTGCTTCAAGAGTGTGTTCTCTGGATGCGCTGCTGTACGCACCTGCCAGCCCTGAGCCTGAGACCAGAAGGTTACAGGTCCAGGGAAGGACTGTTAACACTCATCTCTTCTGCCTTCAGAGTTCTCCTGCCACAGAGGATGGAGCAAGAAAGATGGAGGAGGTCGGGTCAAGAGGCTCCCTGATGGATTTCATTAAAAGTAACTGACCAGATCCAGCAGCCTTGGGGAGAGGGTTTGGATGTGTGGCAAGGGGCAGTCAGAGCAGAAAGGCTAGTGGCCCACAGTTGTAGGTCCACCTCCAAGGTTACCTGCACTCAGGGGGGCTTCTGTAAGGACCCTGGTGGCTAGTTCTTCACAGCTACCAGCAGAACCAAATTCAGGCAGGTGTTCTCTATCCCCACTTCCTCCCCTCTTCATGGGGGAAACAATGTTAGTCCTATTTCTATCTGTCTACTAGGTATCTCTTCATCCTAGCCCATGGGCTTATTGAGTGGACAGCCCAGTGTCTGTGTGCTCCAGGACTGGCCACTGCACATTTTGGTGCCTCTGATTCTGCCGCCAAGGAAGAGAGGAGAGTTATTTGGAGGGAGGAGGCAGGGAAGTGGCCAGTCTAGAAGTAGCCAGGATGCCCCTCGTCCAGCCCCTGATGGTAGTCTGCTTGTAGGGTTCCCCCGCATCTTCCTGAGGCTGCTCATGAATCCACTCTTTGTGCTGGTGGTCCTGGCCCAGTGCACCTTCTCCTCTGTCATCGCTGGCCTCTCCACATTCCTCAACAAGTTTCTAGAGAAGCAGTATGGCACCTCTGCAGCCTATGCCAACTTTCTCATCGGTGAGTCCAGAGGGTGCAGCAGGAGCTGGGTGGAGCCAACTGAGGGAGGGCCTGGGCACTCTGCCGTCTGCCCAGGGTCGCCCAAAGGTTGAACCGGACACAGCTAGGAGACAGAGGCCTTGCCCAGGAGAAGGAATTTTAAGGATATTTTTCCTGGTTGCCAATTTTGAATGTTCTTGGCAGATTTCTGGGACTCTTATTATTCCATTCAGGAGTGGGTGGAGGCTGGGGGCTGCCTTCCTCCCAGCCAAGGAGCTGGATGTCTGACCCAGCTGATATCACTGGGGTCAAGAGAGGAGAGAGATGAGTGGAACTTGGAGAAAAAAACAAAAGCTTCCTGAGTTTCTTCCCTTCTCATTCAAGAAAGTGAACACATTCGCTTCGGTAAGAGTGGTCCTAACCCGTGCTCCTCTGGAGAGCTGTATACAGCTCAGATGCTCAGCCCTGCCCAAGTCAATGGAACCAGAATGGAGGTGGAACCAGAATCAGCAGTTTCTGCAGCTGAGGATGTGGTTTCACTAGGCGTCCAAGTGAATTACTGGGTCCAACCCACATTATTGGGTGAATTTTACCCTATGGATTTGGCAGGATGGTCAATGCATGAGATTTTAGGATGACTCCCCTGTCCTCTTGACTTCTTTATGGCCCTTGGCTATAACACCCCCCTCTGGCCTTCAGTCTCTGACTGGCAGATCAGGAGTCATGTCCCTTGCCTTACAAAGCCCATATGATCTCAGCCAAGTTGCAAGTGAGGGCCAGATGATAAAAGGTGCTTAATAAATCCACATTCAGCCAACATTTCTTGGGTGGCAAGGGCTCTGCTTCTTTTCTTCTGTACCCTGACCGGCTCTTTCTCTCCATCCTTAGGTGCTATCAATCTCCCTGCTGCAGCATTAGGGATGCTGTTTGGAGGAATCCTCATGAAGCGTTTTGTTTTCCCCCTGCAAACCATGCCCCGTGTGGCTGCCACCATCATCACCATCTCTATGATCCTCTGTGTCCCTCTGTTCTTCATGGGATGCTCCACCCCGGCTGTGGCCGAGGTCTACTCTCCCAGGTAACGGGAATAAGAAGTGTGGCGATACCCTTTGCTACAGAGCCTAGACTGGCTGCCACATGCATTCCTTTCTACCTCCTCTTTTCTCCTCGCTCCTGTTCACTTTTCATCTGATCTCTCATGTAGCATCTTAGAAAATCAGGTCTTAAATAGTGTACTCCATTATGAGATGACCAAAAGGTACTAGCAGAGTTAGGTTCTGTTTTTTTAAGTAGTGCCCAAAACCAATTAGTTTGGTTTCCGCATAAACCTGAGCCCCAGAAACCAGGAAATAGGATATGTTTAGCATCAGCTCTGAGCCGGCTAGAATTACCAAATCTCATTCAGCTGCTGAAAAATGATGAGGTGAAATCTGAAAAGATATACAAAAGAACAATGAAAGTGATGGCAGACTTAAAAAAGCAGAACAGGGAGGAGTGGCAGGTGAAGTCTACCTGTTAGTTTGCATAAACCAATAGAGGTCAGAAGTTTCAAGTCTGGCTTCGTGTTCAGAAAGGGCTTTAGAACCCTGTGAGGGGAAGGATGCTGAGCAAGGAGCATGTTCATTTTCCCCTGGGCGCCATCTTGCCGCGGCCTTTCCTTTTGAACTCTGCCTCATGAGGTCACACGATTTGGAAACGCTGTACCTTTCAGCCTTGATGTTTTCTCTTTCTCTTTGAAATAACCTTCTCTGTCTTTGGCGAGTGAAGGAGAGAAAAGGTATGGGGAAAGGAGGGTTACTCTGGTCAGGGAACACACTGCTTCTCTGTAGGTTGGTTATGGATTGCGAGAAGCAGAGAAGCTTCAGGCTTTTTGGTGGCTTTCAAGGGGAGGTTAGCTCAGGGGGTTGTCATCAAACTGGCCTGAGTTCTAGTTCAGATGCTCTTTATTTATTAGTTGGGGGAAGTTATTTATTTAACTTATCTAAATTTCAGTTTTCTCATTCACAAAAGGCGAATAATTAACTGTAGACTTATCACAATGACTGTGCATGAAAAGCCCCAGGGCTTTGTGCTTGGCACATAGAGATGCTCCTTAAATCGTAACTATCATTAGTAGTATTTTAGCAAACCTCTGGACTATAGTTTGTCAACCTCTAGTGCAACCTTCCCCAAAGATCTTGAATATCAGGTATGGGAACACTCAGAGAAGCCAGTGAAATCCCCTGGGTTGAAGTTCAGAAGGATGTGGTGACCTGGACAATGTCTGCATGGCCCAGAATACAGGTGGCCAATGACAGCCCCAACTGCCTCAAGTGGGCCCAGCTGCTAGCCACAGCCTGAGCCTATCTGGAAGAGAAGGGAAGGCAAACACAGCCTGTGACTCTCCTGTTGCATCTGCCATTTCTCTCATCAGAATGAATCGTGCTTGGTTGGTTACTTTGACTCCTACTATGCCAGGGAGTTTGCTGACCAAGCCTTTCCAACTGAGTAATTAGTGGGTTTAAGCTGCAAATGTCAGAAGAAATGGAGAGGCACCCTAACCCCAAACAGAAGCAGAGTAGTCATGGTTGGCTCTTACACGCATAATTCTAATCCCGAGGTGGCACTGGCCCAAGACAAACAGAGACACACAGGCCCATTAGCCAGGCCAGGAACTCACGCTGGGCTGAAGTGTAGAATTATTTCTTTGGTCTTGCTTTGTTTGATTCCTTGTTTCCTGTTTTGCTGGCAGCACATCAAGTTCTATACATCCGCAGCCTCCTGCCTGCCGCAAGGACTGCTCGTGTCCAGATTCCATCTTCCACCCTGTCTGCGGAGACAATGGAGTCGAGTACCTTTCTCCTTGCCATGCCGGCTGCAGCAGCATCGACAAGAGCTCTGCAGACTCCAAGAAATTGGTGAGGGCAGCTGGGGTCCTGGCGTCAGGAGGCGCCCCAGGCAGTCTTAGAGCTCACTGTGTATCCTTGAAGACTACTTCTGACTCAGAGACTCTTTACCAGCATCCTGGCCTCCTCTGAGCCCCATCCACCCTTTCTGCACCTCCCTTGCCTTAGGGTCATGTCCAGATGCCTCCAGCACAAACCCAGTTAAAAAGTGGCCCTTGTCCAATGAGCTCATTCTCTAGACCTGACAGTGCTCACAGCAGAAGCGAGTCAGAGCACTGGCCCTCCTCCACAGAGGCCTTCAAGCCTTGTCTTGAAAGGTCCTGAGGGGGCGCCACGGAGCCCTGCATTCTTTCCCTGCTCCAAAATCTCACTGAGTGGCCTAGGTAAACTTAGAGCAGAGGGCCTAAGTGACATTGACTGGAAGTTCAGGGCTGGGAGGAATGGTCGAGGACACTTGCTTCCAACACTCCGCTCCCAGCTGTGCCTCACAACTGGCCTGAAGTCATGCGGCTATGTGACTAGGAGCCAGAGGCTTGGCTGCCATGGAGCATCTGTGCTCAAGGCCGTGTATCTCTTGGCCGCCAAACTTCCACCTGGGCAGCCACATTCATGTGTTCACTCAGGGAGGCCCTGTCCCTCCTTCTCTGAGCAGTGTGGGTCCTGGGCTTCTAGGATCAGTCAGCTGCAAACTGACTTGTCATTTGTTTAGTTAACAGATAGTGAGTGCTGGGCACAGCCGTAGACAAGGAGCATAGAGTGGGGGTCTTTCCAACAGGGGCCCTGCTCTCACAGAGTTTGCCAGTAAATGCACAAGATACTGTTAGAGTAACCCATGCCAGGGAGAGACTGCATGTGACAGAAAGTGCCTCGAGCCTCCTGAGGAGGAGACATTAGAACTGACAAGCAGCAGAAGAAAACATAGGAAGATCTGGGAGAAAAGTGTTGCAGATAATGGGGAGAGTATGAGGAAGGGCCGGGGCATGCTGTAGTGGGGAAGATAAAAGGCCGATGGGCCCTGCTGGGCCAGAAGCAGGCTCAGGCCAGCCTTAGGAGTTAAGTGTTCTTTCTCCTAAGAGCAGTGGGGAGTCCATGAGTTCCCATCAGTTCCCCGAAGGACAGGAACATACCTGTTCCCTGCGGCCTGGTGCAGAAGGCATGGCTCAGCAAGCCCCACTTACCTAACAGCCTGCTCTGAGGGGCAGACCAAGACTGCTTCCCCAGCTACCTCTGTGCAGAGCAGTGTGGCTCTCAGACAGAGAGAGGATGAGGAGCTTGGACAAGATGCTCCCTTTGTTGCCTTAAAGTTGGAGGAATCTGTGGTGGTTTCTGTGGTTTTCTTATCTTTATTTACTCACCTCTGACACATCCTCTCCCAGAAATAATCTTGACAAGTTTCCAATAACAGCACAAGTACATCAAGATTAAAAATCCATTAGCACAATATAAAGGGGAAAAAAACCTATATGTTAAAATTCTAAACTGTGAAAGATGACAACAATATGGAATATAACATGCTTCTGTGCTTCCTAGGAGCCAAGGTAAAGAGGGTGCATAGTTCTCACTGACTGGCAGAAGGAGAGTAGCAGCTCATTCCAACATTGGCCTGACTGCCATGGCACTCCCGAGGTCACAGGCTGGGCCATCAGACACCACAGGGAAAAAAGCGAAGACAACTAGCAAGCAGTGGCCCCCAAAGAGAGATGAATAACAGTATTGAGCTGTCTAGATTGGCAACTTGAGACAGGGGCCTCCTCGGGGGCCCTTCCTAGACAGGAGTTCCTTTCAAGCAGGAAGCTCCTTCGGAGGCCTGAAAGTCCCAAGTTCAGGTGATTCCATCAGCTTCCCTATTTACATCTTCCTCTGCCACCAGTGCACAGTTGGCACAAACAGCAGTGCTCATGGCCACCACGGCTGGGCACAGTAGAGCTCCCTTCCAACCTCTGGCAGCAAGCTAAGGGGGCCTTGCCCAGTGGTAGGATCTTGGGCATCAGGTGTGGGTATAAGTCCAGGAGCCTGACCCATGCTGCTGGAGCCCAGAACATGCAGGACCCTGGTTCTCGTGAACACAATTTCTGTTGTCCAAACACTGAGGGCGGTGGGACCCCTAGGGCACCTTCAAATGCTCACTTGATCTCTCCGCTTCCAAATCCAGGTTCACCTTCCTTCTCTGGGGACCCGGAAGGCAGAGGGGTTAACCCAGAGCGACTCAGGCAAGAGCTGGTAGAGATGTTTGGAAGTGTCTGGCAGTAAAGCAAGACAAATTCCCCCATTTTCCCTCCCTTTCCTCTTCAAGATCTATTTGAACTGCAGCTGCGTGACCGGGGGATCTACTTCAGCGAAGACCGGATCATGCCCCATCCCCTGTGCGCACTTCCTGCTCCCGACCATCTTCCTCATCTCCTTCGCAGCCCTCATAGCCTGCATCTCCCACAACCCCCTCTACATGATGGTTCTGCGGTGAGTGAACCTGGGCCCCAGCCTCGGCTTGCACTTTCCCACACCTCCCTTTGTGCTTGGACGCTACTGGTCACATCTCATCCCATCTCCCTTCTCTGGCTCTCAGCCCTACGAATGACAACACGCAATGCTCTTTTGGTAAAACGGCCAAATAATACTAATGGCAGCTGTGTCGGGCTCTGTACTGAGCACTGTGTTGTGTGGCCTGGTTCAATCTGACAGCACCCGTGTGACACAGGCCCTGCTGGCACCTCTCCTCTACAATAGTGGGAAGACAGAGCCGGTGCCCAGCTGAGCCACATCTTAAAGCTAGGCTGTCTGGCTCCCCACTGTGGCGGTACTAGTAGATTTACTTATTTTATTTTTTGCACCGGGGATCAAACTCAGGACCTTGAGCTTGCGAGACAGGTGGTGGCACCACTGAGCTAAATCCCCCGGGCCTGATTTACTTATTTTAAATCCTAAAAGAACTGAGAGGAAGGAAGAGAACTCAGTTGGATGCACAAAGTCAGGGCAGGAAAATAAGGCAAGTTCCAGAGACAGAGTGAGAACTAGAGGAAAGGCCCAAAAGGAGATAATCTCAGTATGCTAGGAGCCTCGGCCAAGTCCTCAGGAGAGAAGGGACAGGCTGCCCAGGGTGGGAGACAGAGGTGTCCCGGTACAGGTGGTGCTTCTGAGGCTTCCACAAAACATGTCCCCTCCCTTTACCTCACTCTGCAAAGGAGAAAAGAGCATTTCACCCAGGTTCACCTACACCACCCTCCTGCCACCTCACCACACTCCATGCTAGCATCATTCACGTCAAAAGCAGAGAGGCAAGAGCACGGGCCTTAGAGCCCAGGTGCCAGGGTCGAAGTCTCTGTTCCAACACATAACTGTCTGAGTGTCCTTGGGTCTTGCCTAACCTCACTGAGACTCGGGGTCCTCATTCATGCAGTTCAGGAGAGATATTGACCTCAAAGTGTTAGTGTCAGGATTATGCAATCGATTGCTGTGTAAATCTGTGCACTACATATTGGGTAACTATTACTATTAAGCAAATCATCACAATAATTAACAGCTAGCTAGATGCCCCGGACCTGTTTTCCTCAGGTGAGAAGATGAGGAAGAAGTAGAAGCAACCACTTGTCAAGATCTCAGGGTTGTTTTTTTTTTTCTATTCACAAATCAGCTGTCAAGTTCACCTGAAAGATGCCAAGCTCTTCTTTGTATTGCTGTTTTGAGAATGCTGGCAAAAGACAGGAAACCTGGAGTCAAAGACAAAGGACTCGATTACAGCACATGTCATATTATATCCATGCCCCCTAAACCCTACAGGGGTGAGATGGAGAGGTCTATGTGCGTGCTCTGCATGCAGCCCAGCCGAGGACCCTGTGCTCAGGACGGCCACGACTTACACTGTCCTCTTCCTGCCCCCGTCCTGTGCATTCCACATTCTGGCACTGTCACCCAAGGCACTTCAGTGGGGTTCCCTTCTTGCACCCCAGGGACCATAGTAGATCCTCTGACTCTGAGACAGTCCGCATGAGGCCTTGAGAAGGAGAGGAGATAGGGTAAGGAAATCTCACGGGAAGTTCCTAGGCAGCGGAGGGTGAGGGCAGTCCCTACCGAATGTCATGGAAAACAGAGGATCATCAGAGTCAAACCGGGCAGACACCAGGAGGGGCTGAGATCTCTCTACCCAAGTTTCACTCAGTTAAGCATCTGCAAGTGAGTATGCTCAGGTTAAAGACCAAGACAAGGACAAGGGAGGCACTTATTATGGACTGGGTCTTTGGGGTGAGGGAATCTTCAGGCACAAAGACAGCAATAATTGTGCCCCAGCATTAATAGGGATCCCAGCTGGGGCCTCCTCTCCTCCCCTGCCTACACTCCAGTGATTATCCTTTTATTGGCCCATCCCTCAGTGGATCTGGAAGAAATCCCCTTTCCAATTTGCTAGCAGAACTTTGGTAGTGGGGGTGAGACAAACTATGTGCACAGCTCTGGGAAGCTACCTTTCTCACTGTCCCCTCAACCCCAATGCTTTCTCCTGACAAGCACCCACCCTGAGGTGTGTGTGCTCGGAGCACGAAATCCAGAGCCGAGTCACTCAGCAGGTGCCTTTGCTGGCCAGGTCAGGGATCATCACTTCGTATGAGGGATTGCCCTCTGCTCCACTCCCCAGCTAGGATGGCAGGGCCATTCACCCTCTTCCTGAACCTCCTTCCTCAGCCAAACATACTTCCTACTGTAGAAGGAAGAAGAGTAGGGGCAGCAACAGCTACCTAATTTGCAAGACCTTATACAAATAAAAAATGTAAAGTTCCTGGCTCAAAAATGATTAAGAATTTCAAGATAGGCACGAGACTTCGGATGGAGTCCCGTGCAGCTGCAGGCCATGCACCCACACAGCTGGCCCAGGGCAAAGAATTCTTGTAGTCATTCATATACAGAAGCTGACAGCTCAGGGCCCTAATTACACAAGGGATGTCTTTTCCTGGTACAAGACGCTCTAAGGGAGTTGTTCAGACCTGCCGCTGTAAACACTCCACTATCATCTTTCTCTCAGTTCTCTGCCTCTCCTGTCCTCTTTCTTTTCAAGTGGACTCTGGGTAGCCTGAAAATCATGTAGACCAGTGATCCTCAAACTTGACCTTGCATCGGAATCTCCTGGAGGGCTTGTGAAAGCACAGATTTCTAGGCCTCACCCCCAGAGTTTCTGCCTCTCCTTGGTATGTCCATGTACTAGATGCAGGGCTTGAGAATCTGCATTCCTAAAAAGTGCCTAGGAAGTGCCGTTGATCCTTGCATCATACCTTGGGAACCACTAACATAACAGGAGTGTTCAGGCCAGGTGAATCCAATCAGTCAAAGGCTTACCACACCACATGAGGGCAGGTTCTGACTTCCTCTGAGGCTGGCTACCCCCTTGTCCAGGAAAGAGTGTAGCCCAGAATCTTCCCACTGCTGATTTCCTGTTTTCCTCTTCAGTGTGGTGAACCACGAGGAAAAGTCCTTTGCCATTGGGGTACAGTTCTTGCTGATGCGCTTGCTGGGTAAGTATCTCAGAGCCCTGCCACCACAGGAGTGGCCCAGGCTGCAGGCATGTGGGGAGCAGAGTAGGGCTGGGGGAATCCCCATCCTGTCTCCACTATGCATAATCAACAGCAGATGCCAAACTCTGCATGGACTACTTCCCTGATTGCTTGAGGTTAAGAAAGATTCCATCTATGGCATCAATTCCAAACTACATTTTGTAAGAAAAATGGAAAGTAGACACAGCCAGGAATAGCTAATACAGAGTTAAAAAGCAAGTTCTTTAAATCTTTCTTAAGAATTCACCAGAGGAACAAAACCTTGCATTCCCACCTCAGACAGAACAGCAGCGGAGCCCAACCCTGGCCTCCTTCCCATTTTACAGAATTCACTCCTCCTTTCTTTGTATGGCACCCTCTGCCTGCGAACCCTGTCTGTGCTCGAGCAGTCCAGAGCCCACTGGCAGAACAGAGCTGTGCACATGCGATCAGCCATGGCCCTTAGAGGGAGAGCATCCCAGGGCACCAGGAAGCCCCGGCTCTCCTCGGGCAACAAACTGCAGGCCCTTTCCCTGACTGCTTACACAGAGCTATCCATTCTTGACACAAGCTCCAGTACAGGGACCCCTGCAATGACAGAAGTAAAGGGACTGAATTCACCAGAGGGTATATTTGTTAAGACTTCATGGGTGTGAAGTGCAGTGGGGAATATGGAGATTCCAACAAGAGAGACTTCAGTTGCTGTCAACACACATTTTCCAAGCTGAAATCTCTCTGCATGGTTACCCAGCAGGCTAGTTCCATAGTTCACCCTGCAACAGTGAGCCATGGCCCTCCTGGGCTGGCTGAGTAAGAGACTTTGCAGGGCCCAATCTGACGCCATGGGCTGATAAGAAATGAACTAGCTTTTTTACTGGGATTTCTTGGCTTCAGGATACTTGCTCCTCTTTTCCTGGTTGAGTCCCTTGGAGCCTTTTCAGACCCTGCCCCTCTGGCTTATATTATATACATGGAAGATTCAAGCAGAAGGTTCTGTCCTATCCTCCTGCCACAGGCTGTGGTGTCATCTAAAACTCCTCTGGTGTTCTCATTTATAACATCACCTGTAACTCATTTATAACCTGCTCTAAAGGCCCTGATGGGAAGAAGACCTTGCATTTCTCCCAGTCCAGACACCAGGTTCAAAGAGCCCTGCTTCTTCCAGTGACCCTGAAAATGACCACTTGCTCCAACCGCCCAAAGCTCTAGATACTTCTGTCTTTCCATGGGGCCCAGATAGCTCAATGTAGGATCGTGTTAGGAAATCCAAGCCTTGGAGAGATTCTTATCACTGAAGAATTAGAGGCTGATGAAATTACTTCCTCTTCATAAACTCTAGCACATTCACAATTTTTGTCTGGACTTTATTTCTACTTACAGATAGAGGTCTGTCCTTACAGCCAGCTCTTATTCTTGTTCACCTGGAGGTGGAAGTAAGCAGGGTCTGAGTAGAGAGGCCACTTCTAGAAGCCACCAGCTCAGGGCTAGGGCTATAAGTGCGATGCATTGTAACTTTCTTTCCTCCAGAAGAAGCAACTCACTGGACCCTAAATAGTCTGGGAAGCTGTTCTCAGAACTGTGGTTTCAGAATGAGAAGGCCCACGTTCAGTGTGAACCCTAGACTGGCACAGCCTTGGCCTGGTGACTGCCTAAAACTTAGCTAGTGACGCAGAGTAGGGGCTCCCGGTACGTCACCACCAGTGTGGCACAGAGCCTGCTAGACCAGGTTATGACGTTCAGCTGCTGGGACATTCAGGGGGCCGAGAGCAGAGACTCTGATAGCCAGGGTGGGGGATATCTTCAGAGGGTGTTGTTTAACCCAGCAGGGCAGTGTGAGGTGGTGGACAGATAAGCGATTCGAACTTCCACAAGCCAGGGTGCAGAGTGCAGCCTTGACCCTGTGGCCAAGCTCATTGTTCCCTTGTTGTGGTGACAGACCTGTCCTCAGGGTCCTGTGAGGACAGGAATTGGTGCCTTCATTGGGGCCAGCCTCAGCATGAGAACTGCTGTGTGTCTGAGCTGGCCTCAAGGTGACCCTGTGACTCATCCTGCCCTGAAAAGATCGCCAAGGTCCCTTTTATCTCCTAAGCCTTCTGGTAAAAGAAAAATTCGGGTTTCACTGGCAACTATTCTGCTTTCTCAAGTCAGCGTGATTCCGAGGGCAGGGCAGAGCCATCCCCCTGTGTGGGAACAGGGCAGGGTGCTGAGTGTCTCTGCCTGCAGTTCCCCATGATCCGGGCTCTCAAGCACTTTCTTCCCTGCTATTGCCAGCCTGGCTGCCATCTCCAGCACTCTACGGCCTCACCATTGACTACTCCTGCATCCGGTGGAACTCGCAGTGCTCAGGGAGGCAAGGAGCCTGTGTCTACTATGATAATGATGCTCTCCGAGACAGGTAAGGGCCCCGGGCCCTGAGCCCAGGCAGATAATGGTCATATGCCAGTGGCTGTGGTGGGGGCTGCTGACAGGAAAGCACCTGAGGGCCCATCTCTGCAGGCCTACCATGGATAGCAGCCACTATGACAAGCATGTCAGGGCCCACAGGGAGTCACCCAGGTGCGGAGTTGGTTCCCTCCTGTACTAGCCCTACAGACCCTGGGGAGGGGCAGCAGCAGAAAGAAGTAGTGAAGGGGAAAGGAGTGGCTGCTGGAGTCTGAGGGACACTGGATGTGGATGTGGAGAAAAGCTAGGCCAGTTTCCTATTACTCAAACAGTGGGACCCCACCGCGGCTCCTACAGGGGCCCAGGATAGGGGAAACCCAACCTGCCTCAGTGAGCTAAGGCCAGCTGCAGCCCACTGAGTCTTGCTCACCCCCCAACACACACACACACACGCGCACGCGTGCACACACTCTGTCACCTTACCTACTTCTATCATCGCACAAACCAGAAACTGCAAGGAAGGTCGGTTTGAGAGGGCTGGGTGAGGCTGGAAACCCTGTAGGACTGGCCAAACAGCCACAAGCCAGACTGAGTAATAGGGAACAAAAAGATGTTCCTTCCTCCTCCTCTACTGGGGGAACAGGCCCCTCCAAGGCTGGCTCGAGTGTCTAAGTCCCCTCTCATGCTCTGGGTAGGCCACTGGAGGGCTGAGGAGCCCTGCAGTCCCATGCTTGCTCCTTGCCCACTTCTTCGGAGGTTTATATCCTTCCAAGTCAAAAGAGTGAAGAAAGTGATCCCCACCTGGGTAGTGACAGATTCTTACCTAAGTGATGACAGATACAGTCCCTGGGCCACTGTGAGAATGATGTTCCTCTTGCTGGTAACCTGATCCTGGGAAGAAGGCTCCAGAGACCCTATCCCTCACCACACCTGTCTCTTCTGCTCCACAGGTACCTGGGCCTGCAGATGGGCTACAAGGCACTGGGCATACTGCTGCTTGTCTTCATCAGTTGGAAGGTGAAGAAGAACAGAGAATACAATGTGCAAGAGAAGGCTATGGACCTCATCTGACCCTTACCTAGGCTATCACCTTGCTCCAAAGTGGACCGTGCCTCCTCCTCACTTGCCTGTATCCACTAATGTTAACATGTCTCTTTTTGTTTTTTAAATAAGAAAGAAAATCCCAATCACCATTTGCTTTTCCTGCCTCTTCTTGCAAAGTCTCCCTATGACTCCTGAGGGCTGCTGCCTGCCTGAACAAAGTGGGCTCACAGCTGGAGGACCTAGTCTTCCTCGGCTTCTCAGAAGGGGCCCTCATATTCCCAAGGTCTCCTTATGACCGGGGCCTCCAACACGGATGCTCATGAAGGGAGCCCTTGATCCTAACAAACCCTCAGGGTGGGTGCTAAATGAAGTAAGAAAAAATGGATGTGCCCTGCTTGCCAGACAGCCAGGCTCCCCTGTCTGCACACATCCTGCAAAGAACAGAGTAAGAGGAGGAAGGGAGTGGCTGAATCATTAATAGCCCAAGCTGGGCTCCAGGAAGAAGCTAGCCATAGTCCCTACTGCATCTGGATTCACATAGCATGGGATTCAGGAGGAACTGGCTCCCTTTGCCCTCAGATCCTCCTTCCTGTCCCCCAGAAGCCTCTTGGAAGCTGCAGAATGAGAAGTACAGCCCCTTTTCTTTTACCCAGACTCTGGCACTAGAGCAGGAACTGAAAAAACCCTGAGATGGGTCATCCAAATGCTCACCCCGTGAACCATTTTGTCCTTAAACCTGTATTTATGTACCTTCCTCTTCCTGGAGCTACATGTCATGTTGAAAAAGCCACATGTAGTGAAGGCCTGCGAAGACCTTTGAAATGTCATGATGCCCAACCTCTCACCCTCACAGTGGACATCAGAGCCATGGGAAGGCCCTCTCTACATTTCCCTCAGAGCAGAGGAAATGACTTCACACAGCCTCCCCGTCTACTCCAGCCTGAATCCAGAGGACTGAAGAGAGTTGGTCTGAGACGCCTCCAGAAAGGTGGGCACCCTCTGTGGGTCGGTGCTGGGAGACACTGCTGTTATGTGATAATGATCCAGAGATAGAAGCCAACAAGTCACCTTTCATCAGCAATTCCACTTATGGGAGACCACCCTTGTGCTCAGCATACCAGTATGTGGTTCTCCAGAGAGTTTCCCTCATATCTGTCCTTACCTCCCTCCACTGACTTGAGGGCTCCCAGAGTGTGCTTGGTAGGCAGGATGGACAGTGAAGGGCAGGGGACGACACTTACTCTTCAAGCACAGCACCCAAAGACTAGCAGAAAAGAACCTGACCTATCTGTGGTCCTACCAGACTGACTAGCTCACCGTGTCCGCTGCAGCATCTGGGCTTGGTCACTGCAATGCACAATCCTTGAGTGCCGCTCCTCTTGGAAGAATAACCCTGGTCTTTCTTAATGCAATTTAGCCAGAAGGCACTGACTTCCACTGAGCTCATGAATAAAGAATGCCGACTTCCGAGTTCTGCAAACTTGGTTGCCCTCCCAAACCTTTATTCTATTACCTTGCTATTAATAGATTATAATTTTGCTACTGATATAACTTAGTCACGAATCTATGCTGTTAAATACATCTACCAAAGAATAGATAGAACCTTCTAGACAGAGGAGATACCCATGCCACAGTCCTCTGAGGCCTTAAATCACCACAAAGGGATACAAGGTGATGTGACTCAGCCTGTCAACCTGGTGCTAGACAGGCACCAGGCGCATCTTGTTCCTTCAGTGAAATTCATGAGGTTACTGTCAAAGACCCATGGGGCTGGGCTCTCAGGATATATCTAGAAGAAGAATTGGACTTGAACAACTGTGTCCATGATGCAAAGCTGAATTAATATCATAATCATAACTGATGTCTTACTACCCCCCAGGAAATCTTTTCTCTGATACCAGCAGGAGATGTATAATGGTGTCACTCTTATTTATCTTTTAGAAAAAAAGATCTTCCTTGAGTATAGGATGCTCACAGAGGTTGCTGCTACAACTTAGCTTCTGTACATTAAGGCCAAGAATCCATTTCTGTAATTGGGAAGGAGACCCAGAGATGGCACTTTAACTGGCCCTCACATGAGGCTGTGAGTGATCCTCAAACCCCATGTAGTGAGTCAACAGTGCAGCAGAAGCCTGGGGCAAGTGCAGCTTGGCTCAGCTACTTAGGAGAAGTGCACCGACTGACAAGCCTTGGGAAAATCCAACTGTGAGTGAAGGATGACAGGGTGAAGGGATGTCTGTCCGAGAGTATGATTTCCTGGGTGATGGCAGCCAGGAGGGCAAAGGCATGAAAAACAAGCCAAGAGCTCACAGTTCCACTAGGCTCTTATCAGCACCGAGAGAGAAATGCTCATTCCACAAGCTTGGATGTGCAGGAAATGTCACAGTTGTCTCTCTCAGTCAGTCGACGCTGGTGTCAAGCCCCCATCCTGCTGAGTGGTTGGAAATTCAACATTGTCTCTGCCTAGGGTTGGCTCCCAGAGCCATCCCAAGGTCCTTGGATGCCTATACTTTAAAGAAGGTCACTGAGAGTATTTGATCCCTTCCCAGTCTGAGCCCCCCTAGTGGCCCGGCTTCTCTACTGAGCCTGGAAACCCAGCAGAGGTTAAATTTATCTCCTCAGGCACACCCACAGCGCTCCTCTCTTCCCACTCTGATCACCCGGATGCAGCCCTAGGAAGCCCACTCCTCTGCAACACGCTATCTCTCCGCACAGTCCAGACACAGTCCAGGTGAGCAAAAGAGCCAGGAAAGGGAGGGTCTGCAGAGATTCTTCTACTCTGTCCTTCTTTGACCCTTCTTGGAATATGAGAGAGAAAATACAGTGAGAATCAAATATCATATCGCCATCAATTACCCTTTGGCCCAAAGCCCTTTAGAAGGAGCCTCACTACAGCCCCGTGACAATGGCCAGATTGGTCTTAGGGTGTTTAAAAAAATTAGGAATCTGAAATCAAGAAAGAAATCATTGCGGCCAACTTCACACAAACAATAACTTGCCGAGCCTGTACTCAGAACAGGCTGCCCAGCTCTCTCTGCCTGATCCAACCCCATGTTCCCTACTGAGTCATTCTGAAGTTAGTGGGGTAGTGGGTATCCCCTCTTCTCCCACTGAAGTTCACTGGCCTGTGGGAGAGAGCTGAAAAATCTCCTTGGGGCAATGTAGGATGGGCAACAGAGATGGAGAAAACCAAGTTATACTGCAGTTACCCGCCTTCTATTCAAGCAGCACAGAGTATTACAACTATTCATTGCAGGCCCGTTTAGCCCTAAAGCACTATGAATTACAGAGTCATGGAGAAAATGGACAAAGAGGAAACAATTTTGAGAAGAAAAAGCCCTAAGAACTCTACACACAGACAGACCTTTGAGGTAACACCCCCATCTGGTGACTGGTTAGCAGAGCCCTGCTTTAAGAAACAAAACCAAAACCATATACTGTGATTTTTCTTCAACTGTTTTCAAACATGGAAAGATATAATTCAGCTGGCACCTGAATTCAGTTAGTATCAAAGTGAGATTAAAATATTATATTACAGATTCGCAGAGAGATTGACAGTGGCTGTGTGTGTGTGTTTGAGGGCGGGGGAGGGAGGGAGCGAGGGAGGATCTAGAAAAAAATCCTGTCTTTCCCAATCCTAGAGGAATTAAATACCTAGGAGAAATGTCCGTCTGCCAATAGTGGTACATTCATTATATCCTGTCCTCAAAGATTAAGTTTGTAAACAGGACCTGGGCAAGCCCTTGGTAAATCATAAATGACAGAAAGCCTTTCCGCCACGGCATACCCTGCCCATTCATCCCCTTTTCACCCCCATTCCCAGTCCCGCCACGCAACCACACTACACAGAGTTCTACACCTTCTTGGAGTCCCTGCCACCTAGGCACCTGCTCCACCTTGATGACATTAATAATAAAATGTGCACAGGTCTTTACAGTTTACTAGCTCCCAGTTCATTTAAAAAAAAAACAGATTTAATCAGTAAATCATCACCCCTTCCCTCTGATGAGCCCAGGGATTTGGCACACACCAGGCACAGAGCTACATCCCCACCTCACCTGCACCTTTTCCTCTCACAAAGTCCATGGCAGGTCTGGGTGACTCTCCAGAATCAAGGCTCACCAGGGTGGTCACGCAGTCTGCTTGGATCCTGAGGCACCTCTACCTCAGCAGGTCACAGTGACTGATGAGACAGGAGGAGAAAGTCCAGGGAAGTTTCACCCTGCAAGCGCACACCTTGGCCCACAAGGAGCATACTGCACTCTGGTTCCAACCCATCAGTTGGGACTAGTCACATGCTCTAACTGCCTTGGAGTTGGTTTTGTTTTTTTTGAGACAGGGTCTCACTATGTAGTTGAGACTGCCCTGGAACTCACTATGTAGCCCAGGCTGGTCTCGAATTCACAGCGATCCTCCTGCCTCAGCCGCCCGAGTGCTGGGATTACAGGCATGCGCCACCACACCCGGCAGAGTTGGGAAGGATAGGCCTGTGTTTTCAAAAGAGAGAAAAGAGCAGCTGTGGATAAGCACTAAAATCATCTACCATTGAGCCAACCACATGGACACATGTTTGTCAGGCTGGTGGGGAAGGTGGAAAGTGTCTCAGTGGAGAAGAATCTATAGTGGGTCCAAAAAACTGAGGAGATGATACCCAGGCAAGGTCCAGGCCATCTGCAGAGGGAAGGGGTGTGTGTGAGAAGATTGGCCCCCCCAGTAGGCAGAGATGGAGAGTGGCTCAGACAGAAGCAGGCCGGGAAAGGGTTCTCTTCAGGGGACACAGGTTCACTGGGCCAAAGCATGAGAAGCTAAGGGGCCCAAGGGAGGGCAGCAGACTAAGCGAAGTCCCTGACAGGGAACAGGCAATGAGCTGATCCCCAGGGGAAGACTCACACCAGGAGCTTCCCCGCCCCTGTGAGGCCCGTGTGTCTGTCCCCGCTGGAATGGAGAGGATGAGGCCCCCTCCAACTCTCACTCGTGCTTCCCCTTTCTTCGTTTAGCTCCCATGTGTGCAAGGATGAAATGACAAGAGAGTGTCCCTGACCTTGCAGGGTATATACTTTAAGAATAAGAATTTAACACAGGGCAAAGTACAGGTGCTGTGAGCTCATTCACTTCAGAGA